GTTGGAGATGCTTTTAAGACCTCCAAAATAATGCTGGTTGTGCTAGGGATATTCCTGAGCGTGGAAGTACCCACGACAATATTTATTGTCACCTACGCGGTAATTATTGTATGCAGAGTGCCGCCACCTCCGGGCATGGCAGAGGTACTTCTTGTATGTTTTGCCGTTTAGTAATCTTATTAAATTCTTTAGCTGGTGGAGAGAATTCGGTAGACTAAATAAATAAAGTGGTTGTTTCTAACTGCGTATAGGTAAAGTAAAAATTAAAAACTTACTTTCTTTCGAATACAAATCTTACTGCCAAAAATTGCTAGTTCCAAGCACTTAGTTTCAAATATGCCCCCGTTACGCTTACCTTTGTAGCCAACCAAGATTATCAGAAAACGTCGTACATGTACGAATTGACCGAACATGTAGAGGCCATTAGTTTTTCCCTTAGCGATCGCCACCATATTAAATAAGGCTTGACAAGTGTCGGAAGAAATGCTTAATTAACTGGACATTATGCAGTTAGTTAAATAAATACACAAGTGACTAATGTATGCATCAAAATTGCATTTTCTTAGGAGATAAATATTATGGATACGTTCGGGCTACTTAAGGATTTACCTGTTGCACAAATGCGTTCCATGTGATGACATCGTTATTTATTTAGGCCTATCTACCTAACCTATTTGTGTCTGCTAGGCTACTGAACTAGCAACCGCCCCTACTGCAGCAATTAATACTGAGATTCGGGATTACTCTTTGAATCAAAATTTAGGTTAATGTTATAGTTATGGTTTTTGCTCACATTAGCCCACTACGCAGAATATGGGTCTTTGTATGAACTTAATAAAGATTGTTTTCTATAAATTCAATATGTACTCCAAGCATGCTATAAAAACCAACCTCAGAAAACCCAGAATACCTATTATAAATAGAGTGTAACCTAGTTACCTCAGAGAGGGAAACAAAATACGAGGTTTGGAGACTTCCGTGAAGAAAAAAACTCATCTCAGGCTTCTCAGAATAACGAGGCTTTCTCATCGCGAAAATATCTTTGATTTTTCGCTAACGCATTGGTAATCAAAGTGAAATCTCTACCAGAATCTTCTATATACTGTATATATAACACGATAGTCAACAATTTAGATTCAATTTTGTCGTAAATATGGATGAATGTGCAAAAAGGTATTGTCTCACCTGACATAACTCGTCTGCAATAATTGCTTAGCAGCATCACAGGTCGAAGAGCTAGAAAAAAATTACCTGAACAAAGAGACAATTAGGCAAAGAAGCCAAGTAAAGCCATGTTAAAATAAATAACGATTACATAGTACATATCCGAGAGCCTAACAATGCCTTGTTCTCACGCTAAATAGAACATTAACAAAAGCCCAAAATGATCCTAATCTTAATTGTCGAATACCATTTTGAGAAGTTTTTTCCAAGGTCAACTCGTCCACAGGAGGTTTTTAGTATTATCGTGGTCTACAAAATGATGAGTGTGCAGAGCGAACTTTGAAAAAGAATAGGATATGAGCCTGAAGAATCTTATTTAAGTTAACACTAACAAAATAATTAATAAAAATGGTGTCTCACTGATAGGCGTTCATCTAGGTTGGTATAACAGATAAGCGCTTTGCTAGTGTTTTCCATTTTGGTATTTACCACATAATGTAATGTGTTGCCCTGACATTTTTGCATAGTAACTGTTAATTTTGAACCTGGATTGACGTTGAATTCCTGATGCATATCCATCAGCGAGCGCTGTCGCTGGCGTAATTTACGCTCATTATTTTGAATCAGAACCACCTAGACTTGCGTTAGCCATTAATATCTACGTTTGTGTTTAATGGCATCAAGTGCGTTCGTGTTTGGCATAGATCTAAACAAAAAGGGTTGCATTTCTGTTCTTTCATGATAAATAGGAAAATGGAAAATGAAAATACTTAGAGAAACACGCAGGTTTAATTGTATTCTTGACAATAGTATCATTTAAATATAAGCCCCTACTCCGCTTGTGATTATAATTGTTAGCAAATAACAATATGTTCTTATAGTTAACGATAGGTCTGCGACTTCATTGGAAGGTTTTTTTGTAGAAAACAAGACGTAGAAGTACTTTAAGTATTAAAGTACGTTCTTAAAAATATATATATAGCTATTTTTTTCTTTTTCTTATTACAGCTACGAGAAATCTGCAACTTGCTTATCGTATTCTCCTACCCCTCCAACTTTATCGTTTACTGTGCAATGTCACGACAATTTCGGGCCACAATTGCGGCCATTATCCCCGGATGCCTTAAAGAAAGAATAAAAAGAGTAAAAAATTTGACATCGCCCAGTACGCAGGATGTTGTTGAAACATTTCAGTTACCGAACACAGTGAACTGATTGCGGTTTTCCTTGCTTGCACATATCCTGATTTAAAATCATTTGTACTATGTTTTCATTTCAAAGATTGCACTTCGAAGTTGCCTTCGATATATCGCTTTTTTACCTAAATCTAAGTAAATTGAAAAACATTCACAGATTGGCATAAAAAGCAGTTGCAAATTTTACGACCGAAAGCGATGATGTAAAGCAATCTCCCACGATGTGACTGCAGGGCTCACGCCTGCGTATAATTGCTAACGGAGAACTGGTATTTCTTTCAATTTACTTAACCTATTTTTCTCACACTCTTAATATTTTAATGGCAAGGGAGGATAAATTCAATTGGATAATTATATAAAACACTGTATCTTACTGTGTCAAATAGGGTTTGCTATTGTAAAGTGGCCTGTATCTTGATGAATGCGACTTATTTAATGTCCATATAAGCACCATAAAACCGGGCCAACCGTTGTAGGAATGTAAACTGGGGTTTTGGAAGGATATTTGGCCTACGAATTTTAGCTAATAGTGAACTATTTTGATTTCTCTCAACCACTGCTAAATATATCGAACTACAGCCAAACTTTTTTTCTTTACTAAAACTGCTAAAACTGCCGTAGTTCAGACTGTATTTTTCATTAAAGATTATGCATAATTGCTTGCCCAGGTATATTTTGCTATTTCACAAAGTATAAACGGTTGCTAGCGATCTATGTATTGTTGCTTGAGACTCAAACTTCTCAATTTTCGTAGAAAATGAGTTTTTTCTTTATTTCCATGTTCGAAATAAAGACATAACTACATACGAAAAAGTGACGTTTCCAATGGCAACAGCCAAATGTGCCGTCAAACTGATACACAAAGAAAATATATGTCACTGTTTTTTTAAACTAATAACATCGCGGTTGCTAAAACTGAATAACATTATATTTTTTTCATTCAGTTTAAGCTAAGTGGAAAATTAGCCAAGATCGACGAATACTCAGTATATGCGTTCTGTATATCTGCATCGATTTGTTCTACGTCTTCTTAATACCAAAATGCTACAACAGCGAAATGTTTGTCCCTGAGCATCGATCAAAATGCGTTCGGACTGCCGTTTCTGCTACACGAAATACATTTCGGCTTCTTTTATACTAATACCGACTACATCAAATATGTTTTAGCAAGACATACATCAATAGTTTGCCTGAAAAACTTGGGTCTGTTATATTTATGCAGTTGTGTTATTTTTTCTATCAAAAATTATTTTAAAAAAAGATGCATTTCTTCAAGCATAACTATTATTTAAATCAGTGACCACATATTTTAGGTATGACAAGTCCGTTTTTTATTTGCAGGCTTATGTTTCTTCTATCGGAATGATATTTATTATGACGGCAAATTAATGGGACTATTTCACTTCGCCTTCCTTCTTCTTCATCTGTCTTTGTGTTGTTCTGTTGGAAGGGAAGCATGATGCATCCCGACAAGTGGGAACGGAAAATTAAAATCGACAACAGCGGGCTTTCGCTTTTGGTCTAAATTAGATAAGCATTTCTGCCGACAGTTTTAAACATTTTTTAAATGTAGACGATACGGGAAATAATTGGAGTTTGGTAAAATTGCGCTGGCAGCCTTTTATTCCCTTTGACACATGTGCAGTACACAACAATATAGCTGACGTCAAATCGATAATGTTAACCGATAGCATAAAAGCAGAACGAGCTATGACTCTTATGCAGCATGAACTAACAAAAACAAAACAAAACAATATATCGTGCCTAAGGGTAAGGCAATCATATACCAGACAATACACGATAAACTAACTGGAAATTACCATAGTTATAATGCGATTTTCATGTCGTACCAACGGCTGCCGACATTATTATTAAGGTTTCAACCCCATGTTAAATAAGGCACCAATTTTTCTTACATGAGCAGTTTGCTTGGGGCAAGTGGTGTTTCCCTTGTTTGTACTTTTGACATTTACAAAGAGAACGGTTTTATCACACACTTAGACATCTCGCCTTCGCTGCGGAAATACCGTTGTTTTTACTAATGTCAGATAAGCGAAAAAGGCACCAACAGTGCTAATTCGTAATAGCAACAGTCTTCTAAGTGTAATTTCACTTGGACTCTATGACACTGAATCGACTGTCTCTACAACGAAGACACTTCAATATACCCAGATTCAACGTTTTTCTCAAAAAAGCATATCACTTAAACATATGCGGGAATTTCTAGCTAACACCTATGCATCCAGAATGGCAGATAACCGAATATATTTATAGGTTCAGTAAGCAAGCTGCTAGTCGTATAAAAAGGTTAACCTCATTAAAGATCAGGCGTGAAAAATAGGTAGCATTCGAATTGGTTCAGAACACACATTAGAGGGACAGCAAACAAATCAAAGTGTACAGTAGATGCCAAATATCACGCAAAATTCCGACATATGTGAAATATAGATACTCTTTCGGTAATCGGCATAGACTCAAGTTGTGATACTGATTATCGCGTTGTCTATTCTGAAGTCATTTAAGTCAGGATAGGATGTGGGCTTTGTAACGAACTTCGTTTTGACCACTAAGAAAACGCATCTATTTAAAAACTGGCTACTTAAGTAGCATGCCTTTTTATCAGTTATTTTGACTGCTTTTATAAATTCAAATCTATTTTATGGAAGCCATGCATGAAGTAAATATTTCTTGTACTTGTTTGATAGGAAATTACGCCTTTGTTAAATTTTATACATAAAGAAGGGGAAGCTTTCGGCTTTAAAAGCGTTGCTAATTATGAGCTGAATTCTTCCCTAAAAGAGTATTTTAGGCAAGAAAACAGTCTGACATTATTTGCTTAAGATACTGTTGGAATGTTTATAGGTAATATGCAAATTGTAGTGAATGAAATAAAATGCCGCTCTTCAAGCTATGTGTTGTATGACCATCGATTTCGTTGCAGTGCACCATGTGCTCAAAAGCAGAGGCGGTAAATGTAGCGCGATTAAAGTGGAAAAGACGCGCAACTGTCTAGCTCACTAAAACCCTCCACCGCATTAAAAGGGTCACAAGACCAAAGTCGAGCTGACGGAGATGGCTTTTGGGCGGAGGCCGCTTTCTTTAATGCAGCCTGGAACGCCGCCTAAACTTAGTCTATAGTGACGGTAAGCTCTGCGCGGTTACTACTGCACAGTCTACCCTCACTCACCTATAGTAGGTGTCTAGCCACACTCTCGGGAGCCAGGGCTGGTACTACTACTACTACTACTTCTACTACCATTACTGTTATTGCTTATACTACTAACTAGGGTGTAGCTCAGTGAGATTAGTTTCTGGTACTATTACTAGTTGTATCGTAAGTCGGAAGCGACACTGATTAATGTCAGCACTGGGCTCATATCCCCTCAATCTTAACATGGAGTAGTGTAGTACTGGTGCTAACACTGGCGCTACCAATTGTCCGAGACGATGCTGAGTTAGCCAACGCTAGGGCTCCTACCCCTTGATCTCACTATGAATCTTGGTTTTGACTATTCTGAGTAAGTACATGTTTGGGGCACAGCAGACCCTGTCGTGGTTTCCACCCTCTCAACTCTTCTTCGGGCTGCTTACGTTTCTACTAGATTCAACTAAAATACTGCTGTTATAGATGCGTGCCTTATTTTAGTAATCATGCTTACTACGGCCAGCAAAAAGTTT